AAACGGAGCCTAAATTTAACTTACTTAGCTTTCAAATACATTTGAATTGAGTTTCAATTAAATTAGTTGGGTCGGTGATGCAACGGATTCAATCGGCAAGTATTGGGATTATGGTTCGTGATTTTAAAGGTCAAGATCTTGGTGCTATGTCTAAAGCTATTCCTCTATGGACTAATATTTCTTATGTGGAAGCCTTGGCTGCCTTGCGCACTTCACAATTTGTGAAAGAGTTGTGCTTGGATGACATTCATCTCGAGGGAGACTCTTTATATGTCATCAAAGCTATCAGAAACCTATAGAGGAGGCTTTGTCTAATTTTGGATATCTTGCACTTGCTGCACATGAATTGCTAGGAGAACTTCGATCCACTACGCTTAGTCATGTCTTTCGTGAGGGAAATTTTGAGCAGGTTGGCTTTTGAGAGTGTTGGACCACATATTTGGATGGAGGATGTTCCACCAAAAGCTGGTTCCTTTGATTGTGGCTGATACCGAGTTGCTTTTATAATATACTAGCGGTTGGGCACACACGATGTGTGTGCAAATTAAATAAATAGGAATAAAAGAAAATAATAATGAAATTAATATTATAATGTGTACTTAGTTTAAGTGGTATGAGTCCTCATACTTAAACCCATGGTCATGGGTTCAAGCCTTGCCCATCTCTTTTTTTAACTTTTTTTAAAAAAATAAAAAATACTGCCACATGGCATGAGGAGAGTAAAGCAAGCTTCAGGACACTATATTATGTGTTCACTTTATAATAGTATAGATAGATTATTTCAACCTTCCTAAAAAAAAAAAAAAATAGTTGAATACTTTCTTTGTTTTATATTTTTGAAAAACTTACTGATAAGTCTTATGTACAAAGTTCAAGACCCAACTAATTCTCAAACAAAACACTTGTACCAATTAGTCCTATACATTTTTAATTGTTCCCAAAAAATTCTATTTTTTTTTAAAAAATTTACAGACACTGTTACATCTTACTACCGTCAGACTTCCGTCAAACAGTCGCCGGAGACTCGTCAGAATGTTCAACATCACCGGGAAGTCGCTGAAGTTTCACCGGAAGTTCACCGGAGTGTTAAGAACGTTAATGGAAGTCGCCGGAATGTTCATAACGTTCACTGGACGTTAAGAACCTGGGGCATGTTCTGCCTCTTTCTTTCACTACTTGTCTCCCAGCCAAAAATAATTTGAAAATTACTTGTCGAAACTCCTCTTTTCCCACCAATAAATGTTAAAATTTTGTTCATATTTGAAAAAATTACATTAAATAAAAAACAATTTTATTGAGAAGATGGATTTAAAAAAGATATCTATTTTAATTTTTTAAAAACTTTTAGTTAAAATGAAAAGTATAAAATTATCACTATAAAAAAAATGGAACCAATTATGAAGTCATTTACTAGTATATTTGTCTTGCTAAGTGATTATGTGCTCATGTCTTGTCTTTAAAAAAAGAGGTAGGTCAGTTTTATTATAATTTCTTACCATTATAAGATGCCAGCTAATTACAAATAATCAGAGATGGCAACTAAATCAGAAAATGTGAACACATCAAATTACATCCATTTAAAACATGTTTAGACCCATAAATTTAAATAAGTTGCATTTTATAAATTTAATTAAAATTAAGTTTAAATTGGTGAATATGGACACCGCCACAACTACACCACCTCTATTGTCACTACTCCACAACCGACATCATGCTAGCAACAATGCTACCAACTCACTACCACCATCACCACCTCTATTCCTCCCTCTCTCTCTCTCTCATTTTTTTTTAAAATTTACGAATTTTGAAAAGTTATTTAACAATGTCCATACTATTAGCAATAATAAGGCTGTAAACACGTTGATGCAGCATAGTGTTGAATTGCAAATTTTAATGAACTTGAAATATATAAATTTAACTTACTTAGCTTTCAAATACATTTGAATTGAGTTTCAATTAAATTAGTTGGGTCGGTGATGCAACGGATTCAATCGGCAAGTATTGGGATTATGGTTCGTGATTTTAAAGGTCAAGATCTTGGTGCTATGTCTAAAGCTATTCCTCTATGGACTAATATTTCTTATGTGGAAGCCTTGGCTGCCTTGCGCACTTCACAATTTGTGAAAGAGTTGTGCTTGGATGACATTCATCTCGAGGGAGACTCTTTATATGTCATCAAAGCTATCAGAAACCTATAGAGGAGGCTTTGTCTAATTTTGGATATCTTGCACTTGCTGCACATGAATTGCTAGGAGAACTTCGATCTACTACGCTTAGTCATGTCTTTCGTGAGGGAAATTTTGAGCAGGTTGGCTTTTGAGAGTGTTGGACCACATATGTGGATGGAGGATGTTCCACCAAAAGCTGGTTCCTTTGATTGTGGCTGATACCGAGTTGCTTTTATAATATATTATTTCAACCTTCCTTAAAAAAAAAAAAAAATAGTTGAATACTTTCTTTGTTTTATATTTTTAGAAAATTTACTGATAAGTCTCATGTACAAAATTCAAGACCCAACTAATTCTCAAACAAAACACTTATACCAATTAGTCCTATACATTTTTAATTGTTCCCAAAAAATTCTATTTTTTTTTAAAAAATTTACAGACACTGTTACATCTTACTACCGTCAGACTTCTGTCAAACAGTCGCCGGAGATTCGTCAGAATGTTCAACAACACCGGGAAGTCGCTGAAGTTTCACCGGAAGTTCACCAGAGTGTTAAGAACGTTAATGAAAGTCGCCGGAATGTTCATAACGTTCACTGGACGTTAAGAATATCATTGGAGACTCACCGGAATGTCTAGAATATTGCCGGGAAAAAAAAAAGAATAAATGGAGAAATTACAGCGAAAAAACATAGTAAAATGTGCTAAATATTGATAAACTAAAAGGAAAAAAAATGAAACGACAAAAAACAGCAACAATGGAAAAAACATATGCTATTTTTCAATTTTTATAAAGTTTAAGCAAATAATCTCCAATATTAATCAAACTGAAAAATAAGTTTTGAAACTGTAAAATATTACAGTTTCAAAGCAAAAATTTATTAAGCATTTATCCTTATTAATCAAACTGAAAACACATATTATGAAATTGTAAAATTGCAGTTCTAAAGAATGTTATGAAACTGTAAAATTTTACAGTTTTATACCATGATTCATCCCAGCATCAAAAAAATTTGAAACTGTAAAATTTTACAGTTTTCACCGCCTGTAACTAAAACTCAGAAACTACTTGTTCAGAATTTGAAAATTTTCTCCATTAGAACAGAAAAAGAGAAGTGTATAGCAGAGAAAATGTAAAAAAAAATAAGAAATCGAAGGAGAGAGGCAAATATAGAGAGATGATTGTACTCCGACAACTATTTTTTGTTTAGATCTAGTTGGATTTGATGTAGATCTACTCCAGATCTAAGTAGATCTACTCATTTTCTTCATATTCTTCGTCGGAAACATATCTTTTTTACCGTCGGTGAGGTAAGGAGTCAGCGGTCGGTGGTTGCCGGCGAATCCCAATCGATGGTAGTTGTTGGTCGCCAGTGACTATATATCAGAAAGAGAAAGAGAAAGAGAAAGAGAAAAAGCAAGATATGGTTACTCGTCAACGATCGCTGGAAATCATAAAGAGAAGAAGAAAGGCAGAGAAGAAGAATAACGTTATTGGACTTTTGGGTATAAATAAAAAAATTTAGAACTAAATACATTACACATTTTTCAAATGAGACTTCTTAGTAATTTTTCCTATATTTTTTATCATTGGGCTTTACATTTTATAGTAGACTTTTGATATGCAGTGGGCCGAGTTATGAGTTATTGTTCTAGACAACATTGTAGTAAACCAGACCAAGCAGCCCATAAAAAGACTACAATACAAACGACATTTTACTGAAAAATGGTACAAATTTTATATATATAGGTCATAAAAAGACTACAATACAAACGACATTTTACTGAAAAATGGTACAAATTTTATATATATAGGTCATGGTTGAATCACAGGACAACAATTGAAAGTATTAATAATTCTATTAAATTAGTATGTTATTCATTATTTAATTAAATTTATAGGATAAATTAACTCATTATTTATTGTTTGATTTGTATTGAATTAGTAGATAAAAGTATCTTTTTATTTTATTTCCAAACTTAGAATATATAATCTCACTCCTACCTTATTACTAATAATCTTATAAATTTATTAAATTAATTATTCATTACATTAATAATCTTAAAACAAAATTTTAAAACAAACATAAAATTATTAAACCCACAAATTAATAATCTCAATCTCATAGTTAATTTTATCAATCAAATATGTCTTACAATTTGACACTCATATATTATTAAAATATTTAAAATTCTTAACATTACTTTATTTTATTGGCCCATGACACGTAGGCAAAGCACAAATTTAATTTGAAAAAAAATAGCTGACAAAAACAGAGCAATGATCCAATCAATCATCCCATAGGTGTATACTTCCTATTAGTATTACAGTACTTCAATTTCAAACCAATCCGAAAAATAAACAAAAAAAAATTAAAAATTAAAAAAAAATGTCATGGTTCGCTCGCTCCATTGCCAACTCTCTCCGAATCGACGACGACGAAGAAGAAGAAGAGAACAGCGCCACACCAATCCCTAAACCCCCTCAATCCGAACACGATGATGAAAATGAAGAAAATCGATCGGCTCGTGGCGTCAGAGAAGACCTCTCCGAATTCACAGAAACCCTAACTCGCCAATTGTGGGCGTCGCTTCTTTTCTCGCTCCTCCTCCTCCTCCGCCTCCGTATCTCCACCGCATTGATCGATCAGTCTCCGATCGGGACCGGTGGGAGCCGCTCTGCCACTCTGGTTCCGGCGACGATTCTGATGAGGATGGCACAGGTTTGGTTGGAATTTCGGGAACACTAAAGTACAAATTTAATTTTATGAAAAATAGCTGACAAAAACAGAGCAATGATCCAATCAATCATCCCATAGGTGTATACTTTCTATTAGTATTACGGTACTTCAATTTCAAACCAATCCAAAAAATAAACAAAAAAAATTAAAAATTAAAAAAAATGTCATGGTTGGCTCGCTCCATTGCCAACTCCCTCCGAATCGACGACGACGAAGAAGAAGAAGAGAACAGCGCCACACCAATCCCTAAACCCCCTCAATCCGAACACGATGATGAAAATGAAGAAAATCGATCGGCTCGTGGCGTCAGAGAAGATCTCTCCGAATTCACAGAAACCCTAACTCGCCAATTGTGGGGCGTCGCCTCTTTTCTCGCTCCTCCTCCTCCTCCGCCTCCGCCTCCGCCTCCGCCGCCGTATTTCCACCGCATTGATCGATCAGTCTCCGATCGGGACCGGTGGGAGCCGCCCCGCCACTCTGGTTCCGGCGACGATTCCGATGAGAAAGGCACAGGTTCGGTTGGAATTTCGGGAAGTCACGATGAATTTATCAATGGATTACCTGATCGGTCGAGGAATCGAGTGGAATCGGAGATTTGGAAGATGGATTCGAATTTTGTGGCGTATGAGCAGGAGGATCCAATTGGGGACGCCGTTGGTATTACTGAGGAGGTGTTGGCTTTCGCGATGAATATCGCGCATCATCCGGAGACGTGGTTGGATTTTCCTTTGGAGGAAGAAGACGACGTTGATGGTATGTGTCCTGCTTGTATTTCAATTGCTGAAAACTTTGGTGTCTAGTAAAGCTTTTGGGTTTTGTTTCAATGATCGAAAAGCAGTTCTGCATATTTAAGTTATATTGAACACTTCAAAATCATCTGTTTTTATTCAAGCATTCTTGTTAATAAGAGCCTCTGCAATGTTTGGTGTCAAAATGACAATGCCAAAACCAAAATTTGACATGTTACAGTGTTAAAATGTCATAGTTTGGTAAGGTTGCTCCAAAGATGAAATTGTCGTTATTCTATTAACAAAAGGTCAATATAGGCATTTTGCCACCGGTATAATTTGGCATAAAAGATAGCATCCACATGGAGATAAATTTTAAAGAGTTATTGCCAAATTTTAATTTTGATAAGGAGGACAACATAGCATTGAAGATAGTCTAACCTATCAAACTCTGTCACCAAGGCATTTGGTTCCTTGCAAACTTATTGAAGTTATCTCCTTCACTACCAATTATGAAATGTGCACTTCAAGGGAAATTCAAGAAATAGCAAACTTACACGAGGAAAATTTTAGAAACTGGTGGGATTACTTCATAGAACCCAATTGGGACGTTGTTTTTAGTGTTCTCCACGTCTTCTTTGAAGGTTTTGCCCTTCTTTTTTTTTTTCTTCTCAAGCTGTGATTAAATTTTGGCCCTGCTATCACTATTCCCTAGTAAATGAGCTTATATTTTTTTCTTTATTGTAGAGATCACAATATTTTTACATACTAGAAAATTGTTATCTTTAGTTGATGGAAAGAATAACTCTTAACTGTTCTTTCTGAGTTGTAGTAACTTTACCATGCTACTAATTTTTTTAATCAGAGTTTTTATCCTAGAAAATTGCTGCTTTAAGTGTTCATTTTCATTTAAGAAATGATAAACCAAGTGCTTTGCTTGGGGAAAAAATGTTGATTATGAAGCCTTTACCAGTCTGATAACTCTCTGATAAAAGAAAGTGATGCTTTTCAGATTTGATTTATTTCTGCAATGAATGGATCACCAGTGAAGTCATGGAATATTATCTCATGATTTTCAATTCTCTGCAGTACAGTTTTGTTCCAGCTTTGGATTTTATTTTATTTTTAATCCACTTCACTTGTGGAGTACTTGTTTTGATTTTTATCTTATCATTAATGAGGGTGCTGTAAATTTTAAATATGAGTTTGCTGTAACTTGTAGTATGTTTATAGCGGATATGGTCAGCCATATGGTAGATGAGTTTTTGTTCGTGCAATCCCTTTATCGGATCTATCATTTGGAAAAAGTTGCAGAGTTCTAGAACTGGAATTGTTCTGTGAAGCATGCATGCCCTAGCCTCTGCTCTGCTGTTGTATATTTTATTCATAACTGAATTGAATCAGCTAGCAATTCCATCCTTTTTTTTTTCCACACGTCTAAAGATCTGTTGAAGAGAGCAACTCTGACATAGATGTCATGACTAGGGTTGCAAACGAACCGAGTCGAGCCGAGTTTTGCTGAGCTCGAGTTCAGCTCGTTTGCTTATTGAGCTCGTTTTTTGAGCTCGAGCTTAGCTCGATAAGAAACTAGGCTCGAGCTCGGCTCGGCTCGTTAACATTAATGAAGTTCGAGCTCGGCTCGATAATTTTTTTTAATATTATTTATTTAAAAATATTTAAATAAAAATTATTATTTATATTATTTAATATAAAAATAATATATTTCGTTTACTAAACGAACCGAGCCGAGCCGAGCCGAGCCGAGCTTGTTCATGAATAGCTCGGTTTATTTGTAGCCCTAGTCATGACCATGAAAGCTTCTGAGTAGAGGTTGCTAGCCATGATAATATGTGTATAGCCATGTATTGCTTTGATTGGAGGATGCTGAAGGTGATCAAAGATTGATGGCTATTTTGTGCGATGTGCAACTCAGCCTCTACATATTTTAATCTAGAATTTCGTAGATCACAGACCACCCTTGCGTATGTGATCTCTTTAGACCTTAATTCTTTTATGTATTTGTCCCTTGATTTCTTCTCAAATCCTTTACTCCAGTACTTTTTTTCAAGTGTCATCATTGAGGCCTGAACATTGTTTTGTCCCCAGAACATTCTAGGTGTGACTATTCACCTTCAGGTAGATGCCAACCTTCTTTTGTTTTCTATATTAGTAGTTACATGTTATTCCTCATATCATGCCTTTTGATTTGAAAATATTACCATGGAAAAAAAGGACTCAAGCCATCACTCATCCTTTGTGATTGCACTTTTTATGTTATCATTTTCTGCAATCATCAATGGAATATTGTGTCAACTTGTGGAAAATCCCTTTGCCCTATTTGAACTCAGAAAAACCTGGACCCTATGAAGCACGGATACCTCAAAAAGGGTGACGTATCCGTATCCGATACTTATCGGATACCGATACTCCTCGGATACTCGCGGATACGTATCAGATACTTCTTAAAAGTATCGGATACTTTTTAATTAATTTTTTATTAATTTTGAAGTATCGGATACTTAATTTTGAATATTACTTATAATATTTTGTTTAGTTCTTTCATAAAAGGAATATAGTGAGAGCTAAAGTAATAGAATTTGTCAAATTGATGTATCCTTGTTGTCTCTCTCACTTCTCTCTCGCTTTCTCACTCTCTCACGTTTCTTCTCTCTGCTCTCATTCTTTTTTTGGTGTTGGCATGTAAGGATGATGTTTAATGTGCATTTGCTTTTACTTTTACTTTTGGATGTTTTATGAATGTTTGAAGACTTTTAGGTTAATAGGAATCCCTCTCTTTATTTATTAATTTACTTTAAATTTTATTTTCATGCATATTACATTATTAAAATTATAAAAATATTTTTTTTACTAATGTGTCCCCGCTGTACCTGTATCATACTTTTTCAGATTTTGACGTATCGTCGTATCCATATCCCCAAATCGTCATCATGAAACAGTGGTTAACTCTCCATTTGTTTTATTTTTTCTAATGAAAATGTTGTATTAGCAAGTTGCATAGCTAAATATCCATAAAACATCTTTTGTTTACATGATGATACCTTTAACAATGCATGGCACTGTACTTGCTATGATACGAGGCAGTATTTATGGCCTGACTTTCTGTAGACACCTTAGTTGCTTTCTTTAAATATTCTTAAGTGGTCTGTCCAGGGTGCCTGCATGTATGATTCATGTCACAATCCTTTTTTTGCAGATTTTGATATGTCTAATGCTCAAGTGGAGCATGTATTGGCAATTCAACGTCTAGCACATAGGTTAGCTGCTCTCAGAATTGAACTTTGCCCAGCCCACATGAGTGAGGGTTACTTTTGGAAGGTCTATTTTGTTCTTTTGCATTCCAGGCTCAATACACGTGATGCTAAACTTTTGTCTACAACCCAGGCAAGTTAATCTCATTTGGTGTCACTGTGTTTCTCCTTCTGGTATTATAAAGATAATTTGAAAATTTTAACACTCCATTAGTTTATTGATTTCGATGTCGATATCATTTTTTTCCTCTTTCCCCAAGTCGGTGTTCAATTTCATTCAATGCATGAGTTTATCGCAAGATGTCTGTCAAAATTTATTCTGTACTATGTAAAGCAAAGTTGGGTTCATTGTGTAACCCTGAATGTGAAGCTTACCTTGCACAACACCCTCAAGAGGTTGAAGTTCAAGATTGAAAATTACAAATTCGTACTGCCCAGAGGCCGTCGTCTTAGGGCTTTAGGAACTGTTTCAATCTCCCTCTTTTAGTTGGATATCAAAATCCTGTTTGTAAATGTCACTTGAAATTTGTCTTGGTAGGTTTTGGCTGTTGCTATACTGGAATTAAGTTGTTGAACTCCATAAATCTCTTTAAGAAGTTATCCATATAGCCAATGCTTTGTGGATGTTGTGCCTTATCTGAGATTACTTTAGCACCACTGTGTTTTGCATATAAAAGGAAGGGCTGGAACACTTCTTCTATGGTGAACCTTGAAGTTTTAAATTTAAATTGATGTACAAATTTAACTATTTGGAATGGTCCAGAAATTGTGTCTAAAAATAATATGTGCACCCATGTCATGTCCCCGGTTATGTTTTACTTTTTCCTCACATTACTGGGCTGCATAGTAGAGCAGTCAAATGGAAAAATATTACATATGGTTGATAGACATTTTAGTATGGTGGTGAGTGATCGTTTTTGAAGGCACGTGTAAACTGTGATATATATTTTGAACCTTTCTTGCGTGATTATGGAACCAACTACCTATTTTCGTTGCAGATTGTGGAAGCAAGAGCTATGTGGATGAAAGAGCTACAAAAGCGAACAAAGGCAGAAACAGATTGGTTTGGAAGTGGCACTTCATATGTTAGAGAGAGTGCTAATACATGGCAGGAGTCTTTTGATCATGTGCCATCAGATGATGCTCCAGGAAACATGTCGCCCCGAACATTAGCTTTTGAACCTGCAACAGCTTACTCTGTGACCACAGAATTTGAGACTCTGAAGCATCCTGTTGTAAGTACAGATATGCAAATTGTTGACAAGTCTGTTATTGAAGAGGAGCCGGTGATGAAGACGAAGGATAAGGATTTTGTGGCTGGTCCATCGTTTAAAGTGCCAGTTCAGAATTATGATGAAGACGATGACGATGATGATTGGCTTAAAGATGATTCAGAATTAATCGGGTGCAATGGAACTGCCATTTTTTTTGGAAACAATGATGATGTGTCGTTCAGTGATCTTGAAGATGATGATGATTGTACAATGCCTATAAAATCCAAGACAGTCACGACAACTGAAACCTCATGAGGAATAGCTTGAGGTGACCATAAGCACACGCCATTATTTATCCAAGGATGGTTCAACTTGATCGTCTGAAAGACAATATTCGGACCAAGGGTTCAAATGCTTGCCTACCAACCTTGCGTGGTCACGAGCTCTGTTTCGTGATGGATCGGCAGTCAAGTTTCCACTGAACAATATTGTCTTGATTGGTTTTGCAAGGTATTGTTGTGACTTCATTGTGGAGATAGAGCACTTCATGACTTGGGTCATTCAGGAAACCTTTATTGTAAAGAGTGTGAAAGTTTCCTAGAAGTCAGGAGTACTTAGAAGATTGATATATTGATTTTTTATTTTTTATTTTTACTCCAATTGTTTTTAGTGAAATGAATGAATATTCTCTATAGTGAGGATTGTGCTTTATTGATCACAAACGATTTGATAATCCAAAGGGTTAGGGGGGTATATTTTGCTTGCCTCCTCTCTCAGATTGTTTATATCATGTGTAAAGTTGGGGATTACGTGAATTTTAAGATTTGTTTAGAAATTGACTTTTTGTCAGCAGGAGTTTAAGGTTTTTTTTGAAAAGATGCGTAAAAGTAGATATAATGATTTGATAACTTGTAATGATTTTTTAATTTTTTTAACTAAAAATCTCTTTCCAAACATACTCTTAGATTATGTTTGGTTGGGACATTTGAAAATAGACTTGGAAAATAAATGGGGAAATGTGTTAAATTTAGGAAGAGATTTATAAATTAGAAAAAAAATAAAAAAAAGTAAGTAAAATGTGAATAAAATATATTTATATTTTATTTAGTTTTATAATTTTTTTTTCCTTTTTTTAATTTTTTTTTCAAATTTCTAATCCAAACACATCCTTAGGTACTTAAGTAGTCAAGAATCATTTTTATATCTAATTCATTGACTCACTCGTTTCGCATTTTCATACTGAAGATTTTGGGTAATGTCTAAATAAATGACCAAATGTCTCAGATAGGTGCGAGTCTCATATTTACGTGAGACATTTAATCATTTATTTCAACAACAATGATGCATACCCCCAGTGGGGGTCGCACCCCCAGTGAGGTGTCGCACCCCCACTGGCTCAAATCCAAAAAAAAAAAAGAAAAAAAGAAAACTGTTTTTTTTTTTGTCAAATGATGGAGTGCCACCTCACTGGGGGTCGACCCCCAGTGGGTGTATGAGGCATTTCTGTTATTTCAAAGTGAGTGTTGTGTTCGGATTGGAGGCTTATTTTGACAATTAACTATTTTAACTTAAAAATTATAAAATTATTATAAAATTAACTATTACATTTTTTTTTATAAAAAATAAAAAAAATCAATTCTTAATAATAAAAAAAATTGTTTTGAATGGAGGGGGTTTTAAAAAAAGATTTTTTTATTTAGTGGTGCTATAAGTACTAATTAGTGTATTAACATTAGTTATGAAATTATTATTGGAGTAATGTTAGGGACTTCAAATAATTTACTAAATGTTTTACCAAACCTCTCACATGGGTGTGGAATTCACACACGCGTGCTTGTGAATCCTACATCCATATGAGAGATTTGGTAAAAAATTTGAGAGTAATTATTTGGAGTTCATAACATTTTTTTTTATTATTGACCTCCCTTATTATACAAATTATAAATATAAAAAATATCTCAAATTATGTCACTTCATCAATTGATATACTAATTAATGCATAAAGTATTATTGTTATGGATTAGCATGTGCTTAATGAGGACGCAACTCCCAACACATATCCACCAATCAAATTAAACACTTAATTTTTATTTTCGGTGGTGTAACATGCACCAATTAATATACTAACTAGTGTACCAACACTAGTTATGACATTATTGACCCAACTCATTAATCATATCACAAATACCAAAAATCTCTTAAATTATGTCACATCATCAATTGGTACTAGTTAGTACACTAATTAATGGATATAACATTATTCTTTTTATTTTTGTGGTGGTGCTACATGCACCAATTAGCTTATTACTAACTAGTGTACCAACACTAGTTATGATATTATTATTGATCTCACTCATTATACAAATTATAAATACTAAATTTTTTTAAAATTATATCATATCATCAATTAATATACTAATTAATATATGTATCATTATTCTTAATTTTTTTGTTTTTTTTGTTTTTTGTTTTTTTGTTTTTTGTTTTTTCTCTGGACAGTAATAAACGAGCCAACAAAACCAAATAACTACGGGTGCGTTTGTTTGAACGGACTGGATAAGGGGGGATTGTAATCTATCGGACTATCAGTCTTGGGATACATTGTCCCGGGACTATTTGCTTGGACTAAATTTGTATCCTATGTTTGTTTAGTCATGGGATTAAAGGTTTGGATTGGACTATTTTATTGAATCTCATGTTTGTTTGAGATATTATGGAGAAGGATAAATGTTCAAAAGATTATTTTATTCTTGTAATTTATAATTTTTATTTAATATATAATTTTAAATTTGTAATCTATAATTTATAATTTATATTTAATATGTAATTTTAAATTTGTAATCTATAATTTATAATTTTTATTTAATATGTAATTTTAAATTTGTAATCTATAATTTATAATTTTTATTTAATATGTAATTTTAAATTTGTAATCTATAATTTATAATTTTTATTTAATATGTAATTTTAAATTTGTAATCTATAATTTATAATTTTTATTTAATATGTAATTTTAAATTTGTAATCTATAATTTATAATTTTTATTTAATATGTAATTTTATATAATTTTAAATTAACCGCACTAAAAAATAATTTATAAATGTTCAAAAGACTATTTTACCCTTTTCTAATTGTTTACTAAGTAATAGCATGGAGGGTAAAATGGATATTTCACAAAATAATCCCATGGGATACCAATCCTATGGTTTCTATCCCATCCCCCATGGAATAGGATAGTTCCATATTTGTTGGACTAATAGTCCGGAGCAAAATTTTTCAAACAAACAATGGACTATTAGTCCGGTAAGACTAAATAGTCCAATCTCACACCTTTATCCCTCAAAACAAACATGCTCTACGAGTCTACGAATCCCAAAAAAAAAAAAAAAAAACAAAAAAAAAAAAAATACATAATGAATTCCAAAAAAACTTCCATCTCATTCCATGTTTTCACTTTTCAAAAAATATTTTTCAGAAAATTTTATTTTTTTATTTTCTGTATTTTTTTTTATTTTTACTGAATTTTTTTTATATTTTAAGCAATTTTTTTACTTTTTAGACACATCTAACATAAATATACCTAAAAAGTAAATTTTTTTTTTTAAAATTTACTAAATACCAAAAATACAAAAATTCAATACATTTTTTATATTTTTATGTATTTATTAATTTTTTAAAATATTTTTTCACAAAATTTTTATCTTTTAAATACATCTAAGTAAGATGCATCTAAAAAAATAAAAAAATATTTAAAATTTAAAAAATATTTACTAAAAAATTAAAAATAAAAAAAATACGAAAATAAAAAAAATTAATTTTCAAAAAATTTAACCAGAAAACTCAAACAACTTCAGAACTTGCAGGGACGACTCTCTCTCTCTCTCTCTCTCTCTCTCTCTGTATATGATAATCGTCATCATATTCACACAGGTTCGTCCCTCGCAGAGCATTCAATTCTCACGCGTTTAATTTCTCAATCTTTGATTTGGACTTCTCAATCTCGCCATTCATTGTCGTTCGGAATCCCTAATCGCTCTCCATCTTTCTCGCTCGCTCCCAAATTTTCCCCAAAGTTGGAGTCCTCGCAATTCGAACTTTATATTACGTGTATGGATCTTCAGCTGGTAACAAAGGGTTCGAATTTCTCTCGGAGAAAGAAGAAGTGGCTTATCGCTCTTGCTCTGTTTGGTGTTTCGAGTTATGGTGCTTACCAGGTCTATCACCTGCCCTCTGTGGCTAGGAAGAGAAAGAGGCTTTCTAAGCTCTTCGGAGCTTTGATTTCTGTGGCCGAAATGGTTTCCGATTCTGCTGAGACAGTCGCTGTTGTCTCCAAGGACTTGAAGGACTTTCTTCAGACTGATTCCGATCAGATTCCCAATAGTTTGAAGCAATTGTCCAAAATCGCAAGGTCGGAGGAGTTTTCCAAGTCTGTGGTTAGGGTTACTGAGGCTTTGACAGTTGGGGTTTTGCGTGGGTATCAGTTTGAGTCGAAGAATGAGATTGAACAAGGGTCGAATTCGAATTCGAATTTGAATTCGAATTTGGGGTTTTCTGATCGGGTTTTGGATAAACTTATTTCTACAGCTGGGACTGGATTTGTTTCTGTTGTTGTTGGTAGCTTCGCGCGCAATTTGGTTTTGGGTTTTTACTCTAACGATCAATCCCGTGAAGGATCGAATGGGGACGGAGTAGTTCTTGCATCCAATGCTGGGTCCAATTCTGAATCTTTTCCCATGTGGTTAAATGTTGTTTCGGGCGACAAGTGTAAAGATCTCATAGCTGATTGCATCCAGACGTTTGTGAGCACGGCCGTTGCTGTTTATCTGGACAAAACAATGGATATTGATGTCTATGATGAATTGTTCTCTGGGTTGACCAATCCTAAGCACGAAACCAAAGTGAAAGACTTTCTTGTTTCTATTTGCAGTGGTGCAGTGGAGACACTTGTGAAAACATCTCACCAAGTGTTGACCACCCCAAAATCCAATCCACACTCCATTGTTGATCATAGCACTAATCCAAGTAGAATAAGTGAGGAGTTTCCTCAGCATGTATCGTCTTCCACGAAACTGAAAGAGAAAAGTTCTGCCAATGGGATTCAGAATAGTGGTTGGGTGAGTAGTGTTTCATCCACATTGGCGGTCCCAAGCAATAGGAGGTTTGTGCTTGATGTGACTGGGAGGGTGACATTTGAAACAATTAGATCTCTCTTGGAGTTTTTCTTTTGGAAGCTCTCAGATGTGTTGAAAAGAAGTCATGAAGAGGTGGTGGAAAGGGGGCTACAAGTCATCAGATATGTTGGTGCTAAGTCTTCTGTTATTGTTACCATATGTCTTGCTTTGTATTTACATATCCACGGTGGTACTAGGGCTTTGTTGCCTGCTTAAATTCGTTGTTGGCTTCCATGCAAAAAAATATTCATAGATGATGGTATAAAGAAATCTTATTGACATCATTTTTAGTGTAAAGATGCTTATTTATATCTTTATCTTATGAGCATGGAATATTGTGACATTTACTTGTATTTTGAATGACAAAAGTTTTAGGTTCTGGAAATACTCAGCTTCCTCATCTGTTTAATGCGTTAAATTGACAGTTTTCAGTTTGTAATGTTCATGGCATTCAATATGAAAAACTTTATTGAGAAGGAAAGAGCAAATTTTGTTTGCTTGGTGTGAAATATGGAAATGCATCCCTTTAGTTTCACGGGAAGTATGAAAAAGATGCTTAAAGATGACTTTCAAACCTTAGTGGACATTTAAGGAGTCATTTGAACCTGAAAATCTTCTGCAAATGGGAATTATGGTATGCCCCGATTTATTGGCCTTCATTGAGAAGATGAAGTGGAAAATGTTCACTGTGAAAAAGAAGCAACAAACAACATCTAGCCTCCTGGAGCAGTAATGATTTTGTCCAAAATGTTCTAAGCAAAGCATATGTGGTCTCAGTTGCACAACAGAAATGATCCACTCAGTTCTGGATTGGAATGGGAGTGAGTTCTTTGGAGCCTTCTTTTATTTTCTTTTTGGGCGTTGGGGAAGGATGAAATTCTCTGTTTTTCAAATTGCACAATAAGGGATGTAAGCTGGGAAATTTTGTTGGCTGCCTTTACTTAGATCACACTCATGAATGTTAGTTGTCATTTTTCCAGTGTTGTAAAAGTGTATATAACCAGAACATAATTTGGGGTGTGTTTTGTCTTTCGTTTATGTATGGGATTCACCTTTGTGGCCTAAATGAAATACTTTCTGGAAGCTTTTGGAAAGCTGTATTTGATGTCTCAACTGTTAGAGCCTTAGACCATATTAGTTTACCGGTTATTTTCTCCATTTATTTTGAATTTCTCAGATATTATCTTAGATAGAGCGTGCAAATTATAAAGCTTTACGCTTTTAAGACAAATTCTTGCAGCACACAGCTCATTTTGGCAGCCTTGAAGCTGAGAGTGACTGTTTACTTTTGGTCTCCTTTGAGGCTGTAGTTTCTATTGCTCTACGGCTGACTTTTGGATTGTTCTTGCAAAATATGTGAAGTTTTTCTCTTATCCCTTTTTTCCTTTTGTTGAATATCACATATGATATTCTCATAAGAATCTTTAAGTATAACCCTGTTTCATGATTTCTTGTGTCTTTCGATTTCTAGTCCTGAAGATTTTGGATCAGAAGTGTATGGCTATGCTCAGCACTGTCACTCGTTGCCAAGACATGATAACGTATGCTACATGTTTTTCAACTCATGCTATTCTTTAATAGTATAATTCACTTAAGAAACTTTTGAATATCTGTGCTAGTGCCTCATTAACACTAAAAAGTTGGGAATTTCCAAGTGCATTTTTTTCTTTAAAATTTAAATTAATCTATATCATGTCCATCATGCTAAATTGAAGATTCATACAATGCTATGTCGTTCGCAATGAAATTGTATTTTGGTCCTCACAATATATCAAAGTGATCTTTCTAGCTAGTTCCTTATTTATGTAGTTATTTATTATTATTTAATTTTTATAGTTGAATTGGGACTCTATGCTAGATTGCAAGCCTTACCATCTTTTCATAGGAGTGAGTGATACGAGGATGGGTAGTCATCATCACATGGCATTTTCTAGTTATTTTTTTAAATTAAAATTTTTGTTTTGAAGTGATTTGAATCATTTGGTTAGACATATTGGTTGTAGGTGGATCCATGCTGGAAAAGACCTGATGTAGTTTGATTAACCAGTTAATTTCAAAAATGCTGCTTTTATAGACCAGAATTTAATCATTCAGGGCGTTATGTACTTTTTACTAGCTGTTCTATTCTATAAGATTGATGTTGATCAAAGAAGATAGTAGTAGTGTCTTTTAAAGTTAAATGTTGCCTGCACTAATGATTCTATGAATTCATTTCAGTGAGATGATTACCTGTGCTGTTACTGAAGGGGATGACAATCACGGTGAGTGCTTTCACTACTTTGTATAATGTGACCTGTTCTGTTCAAGATTTTAGGATGTTCTGGGAAGGTTCTCTACTCAAACTACTTGACAGCCTGCTTTTGGATAGTGAGCCCTTGGGGTCAAGAAACAAGTATTTCTTTGGCTTTTGTTTGTTCAGTTTGAAATGGACTACAGTATTAAAATGTTTTCAATCAAGTTGTTTAGATTATTGATTAGATTCAAGTTTGGGAGGTTTGACCTTCTGGATTCCCGGAGTTAAGCAATGCTGGTTATGCGGCACCTTAGATCCTATCACAAGGTAATTTATGTAATTGATTGAAGATCGCTGGAAGTAGCATCAAGTTATATAGACAAGCATCTTCTCATTGTTGTGTCATAATTCCTTCACAGGAAAATGCATTGGAATGTGTCCAAAGAGTTATAGGAAAACAAGGCAAAGTAACGAGTTGTTTGTTGCCTATGGTTTTAATGAATGCTTATAAAATATAATTCGCCTTGAAGTTTGTTTTTATGTTACAGAAGATAGTTCCTCTTTCTTATCAATTTTTTTTTCTGTTTCCTTTGCCAGAGCTGCTGTTACACATGGTAAAGATTGTGGCATGGTATCTAAAAGTGAGAAGTTAAGAGTATATCATATATTCCTTTACATTCGTTTTTGTTATTTATGGATGACTTAGTGGAATCCAGTGATATGATCACATCACAGTTCGTCATCCTGACAGAAAGCAACTCGATTCCTACATGGGAGATTTTCCAATTGAGAACAGGTGAATTGTGAAGCAAGGTATGATTGATGTTATTTAACAGGCTAAAAAACTCCTCCTGTAGATTTTTTGCTAACTTTGACAGATGACATCAATTACAACAAAAACAATTAGATAAGACAGGAAGGCCACTTCTCTACTCCCATCGTTCCATCATTAAATATTAATTTCACTGTGATTTATTATATAATAATGGTGAAAATTGATTGAATAACAGCTGTGCTTAGAAGGATAATATGCATACTGATTTACTATATCTAGGTAGGTGATTAGACTATAATTAGAAGTAATAAGAAACTCCTCTTTTGGAGCCTAATAAAACATTGGTAATTGTTATAATGACAGTACGGAATTTTTTTGTTGGATGTAAACCAAACATATCCCACTAATATTGTGATCATCCACATTCAGGTGCTGCTTAAGAAGTACAGAGCTTCAATCTGCATCATTGCTGGAATGAAAGAGTAGTTGGTTGCATGACTGCCAAGGAAGAGAAGGTGACTCGTCTAATGAGTAATCATGACTTTCATTGTGCAGTCCAGATGTGGAACTCGTGATTGGATTGGAGGAGTCACCGTAAAAGACTTTTATTTATTTAATTTATATTTTCCCAGTCAACTTTCCACTATAAGATTTTCTGCACTATGCCTTGTTGATTACGGGTTGAATACCCCACGAAGAAGGTAGGGCTAGTGATATCGCTTTTGTCTTGTTACTGTTGATAGTGCTAACGGGGGCTGCATTGTTCATTCGGTATAGATTGTACTGTCCGTGCTCAAGATTTTGTGCTTGTGCAGTTGGATCGCGATATGGATTCTATTCTCAGTGCACAGGATCATATGTTCGTGCTGTTGGATCGTCGACTGTAAATCCAGCAGATTTTGGCAACTGGAGAGTTGTTTTTTTTTTTTTCTGGTCACAATGTCAAATATTTTCTAGCAGAGTCTATTCTCATGACATTAACACCATCTTTATTCAATAGCTCATTGATAAGGCTAACACTTGTATGTTACACTATATGACAAATTACCAAAAGCCGTGTTTGACTCTTTTTTTTCTTCTGTGCAGTAAATGGATATTCTTTCGGAGAAAAGTGAATGGTAAGGGGTGGACCAAGGTGGTGATGTGATTGGCTGATAGGGAAATTATGGTGTGTTTTTTAGTAGTTACAATCAACTTTGAATATCTGTATCTGTATATATATACTGATTTCCATATTTTCAGTTTCAGGATGTAAAACTTCACCATCAGCGGCCCTAACCCGTCCAAAGTGAGGCATCTGTAGTTTCCTCCACTTAATTGAACTTTGATTGGAAATTGACTATGACTACTTCACTTTCTTTTCTTTTTTTTTTTTAACTTTTGATGAGAGTCATACATTTTCTTTCAAAAAATGTGTAGTAACAGTGTTTGGTTATGTGATTGGTTTATATACAAATAGAAGAATTTTCTTACGGATTAGGCCTTGGTTTGTTGAAATTTCTGATGATATCTTTGTCGTGATTCATTTTCATGATATGAATTGTTTTTGTACAGTGCGCTGAACTGATGTAAAAAATTAATTAATTTAATATCTATAACCATATGAATGAATAGATCACATTGGTTTTTAAAAAATTAACAATTCATTCTAGAAAATTACTTTCTTTTTGTTTTTTTAATAAAAAAATGATTCGATAATTTGATTATCAATGTTGGGAAATTTTAATATACACCCCTTTAAAAAAGGTATACTATATGTATTCTTAGTTATCTCATTTTTTTCTTTAGTTATGATCAATTTTCTTCTTTAATTGTAACATTATTGTAGTTATGATTTTTGAGTGCTTTAATTATATCCATCTTGTGTTTAGTTATAACCTTTTTTTTTTTTTTTAATTATAACTCAGAAAATTAAAATTATATCATTTTTCTTTTTAATTATAAGATACATATAATGTATACTCTTTAAATGGTGTAACGTTTCCGTCAATATTTGATTAACTTGATTATTTATGTAAATAATTGTTTTAGTAAATCTTGTAAGCTGAAAAGGTATAAAAATAGGCATCTCTTGCCACCAACCCCAAAGCACTCTCACCAACCCGACAGAGAAAGAGAGGGGATTCATATATTATATAGGATTGGTTTTTCTTAAGATTACATTAAGTTTACATTTCAATGTGAATTTGAAAAACTTTGAGAGAATCATGAGGCCTAGCATGGATCTTGTTTCAATAATTCGAATCGTTTATTTTATGAGAGATGTAATATATACTATTCATAAAAAAAATTCATTCAATCTAATAATTGTAATTTTTCTGTAATAATGGACGATGCACTTGGAATACAAGGAAATGATAGAAATGAGAGAAATGATAGTGGTATCCCTATTTGAAGGAAAATTGTGTTGACAAATCTTCATGCTGTTATTTTAGTAACCGCAAGACAATCTACCATCTTCATAGTGGATTTCACAGCATCAATTTGTCAAACACTTGGTTAGCATTCAATTTTTTTTTTTTTTCTTACCCCACCTTAATAGGTCTAGAGATAACACATAAATCAATCACAAAATATATATAAATAATTTACCTGATTTGTTAGTCAAATTGACTTTTGAAAAATATTATCCATCCATCCAATTTCAGTTAAAGATTTTACTGGTGGTTTTTCAAGAAACCCAATATTTGATCTGAGGTTACATCTTTTAGAAATTTGAGGAAAATCTAAAGATATTCAATCAAAAACAGTAGCAAATGAACTAAAATACCCGCAACAACAACAAAGAAAACACAGGAAACATGTTTTATTCTTTATTATTATGCTATACTAACTGATATATAAACACAAATATTAGAATCCTAGCCAGTGATTCTAATTAAGAGACAAACAAAGAGAGAGAGATTCATTCAGGGCTTGTGCTGCTTCTGGGTATATATATAATCAATATGAGCAACCAGTGTCCTCCTCATCAAGCACTCTTCCTCCTTCACTCCTTCACAATTAGTTTCTTCATTATCAACCATCTCTGAAGAACCCTATATTTATTGAAAGCAAAAAAGAAAAACCCATAAGAAAGATTAAAAGATTTGATCAAGAAAATAGTTATATAACAAGTAATTAATTAAATGATCAACCTACCATGTGTTGGGTTTTCACAGGCTCTGGACGAGCAGCAGATGCATAGGTTAGCATGGGGGAGAGAAGGAGGGCTATCATGAGGAGGAGGGTGGTGAATTTTGACATTGTTTGATATATATGTATTTATATAGGTGCGTTTCTTCACCAGATTGTTCTCCTTGTTTGGTTCACTGGAAAATTAAGAGAGACATAGAATGAAGGCATGGTGGGTGAATTTATAGTAGTGGCAAGGGTGGAGGCCCAAGGGCTAATTATTGAGTAGTATCGGGGTAGAATAATACTATAGATCATGAAATATTTTATAAAAGTTTTTTATCATTTGATTAGTCTATGATATTTTCTTATACGTGTAATCTAACGATGGAGAATCTTTTATGATCATTTTCATGATATTTTTTTATGATATCTAGCATTACTCATCGAAATATCATGTACACTATTTACGTGATATTTTAAATTATTTATGTAATAAAAAAAATCCTGATGATATATTTATTTACGTGATATTTTAAATTATTTATGTAATAAAAAAAAATCCTGATGATATATTAGGATTTATTTTTGTTAAGTAGTGGACAAATAAAGTTTGACTTATTTAATGTGTATTATAATTATAAGGAAAGTTATATCATTTTATAATTTTTATTACAAAATTTTGTAATATTTTGAAATGCATTCCTTATACATACATCATTTTAAATTTTTAGGGATGAACAAAGAAGCATACCTTCCAAAAAAAAAAAATCTGTATTGTTTGGTTTAGTTTTTAAATTAACAATTGGATCAAAAAATTCAAAAATATGTTTGGTTAATAAATTTTTAATTTTTTTTTCTCCTCTCTCTTTTTTTATTTATTAATAAATCAATCAATCATTTTTTTTTTCTCCTCTCCTCTCCTCTCTCATTATCACACATTTAACACATCAATCAATCAAATTTTCTCTCATATCCATTTATTCAATTATAAAATATATATAAATTACAAATTATTTCAAAATTCATAACCAATTTTTTTTTTTTTTAATTTTCAAACTCTTTTCAATAACTTATGTTTTAAATGGTTTGTTTGGAGAGGGGGTTAACTTCTTGACTTTTTGACTATTTTAATTTGGAGTTAAAGAATTTCGTTTGCAAAGAATTTTTTGACCTTTTTGACTTTTTGTGAAAGAAAAAATATAATAATTATGAATTAAATGTGATGTTTTATTTTATTAAATTAAAAAATCTATTTTATTTTTTTATAGCTAAAATAGCTTCAAACCCACCCCAACCCATTCTTTCAAACCCACCCCAACCCATTCTTTCAAAGGAAGCCAAAATATAATTCAATTTTTTTTAAAAAAAATAAACCAAACAGATGATGTCTCTAATTTTTCTCTCTTTTGTCTTGTTACTGATTTGGGCCACTATATCTTTGACATGTGTATTTTCTGCTTCTTTGTCTATAAATTTTTTTTACAAAAATGCTAGAGGTCTCAAAAATTCTACCAAAAGTTTTACCAAATGTCTCACATGGGTGTAGGACCCACATGGGACCCACATTGTGTGGGTTCCACACCCATGTGAGACATTTGGTAAAACTTTTGGTATGTAAGGCATTTGGTAAAACTTTTGGTAGAATTTTTGGGGTCTCTAGCATTACTCTTTTTTTTACAAAAATGCTAGAGGTCCCAAAAATTCTACCAAAAGTTTTACCAAATGTCTCACATGGGTGTGGGACCCATGTGAGACATTTGGTAAAATTTTTGGTAGAATCCATGTGAGACATTTGGTAAAACTTTTGGTAGAATTTTTGGGTGGGTCCCACACCCATGTGAGACATTTGGTAAAACTTTTGGTAGAATTTTTGAGGTCTCTAGCATTACTTTAATATTTATATGTACGTATTTATTATGTACAGTAATAATTCATACCTCCACAAAATATTACCTCAACAATCCCGACTCACTTGTGATTGATCCATATAAGAAAGAGAAAGACCAAAAAAAATAAAAAAATAAATAAAAAATAAACACATCATTGGTCCACATTACTGTGGAGGTGGTGGGAGTCTCCCCAAAAAGAGGTCCCAAACATTTTTCTTTTAATTATTCGAATCATTTATTTTTTAAATAATAATATATAAATTATTTATATGAAAAATTATATCAACTTAACATTTGTAGTTAAGTTTTTTTTTTTTTTTTTTTTTTTTTTTTTTTTTTTTTGTTGTGTAAAAAAAATAGTTTATCATTTTTTTTTTCAAAAAAAAATATATGATAATTATTATTTGAAAGTTAGACTATTTATTTTTTAGAAGATAAATACAATAAACTAACATAATTATAGTTACTAGATTTATTTAATTTTTTCATAGATTATTTACATGTTGTGATTTAAAAATGAACAATTTAAATTATTAAGGTGAAACTTGTGATAAATCTCACAAATTCAAACAATATGGTTCAATCCACAACTAGACAAAATCTAATTTCTAAATGAAATGTTGCCATATTCATTTTTCACATTATGAGCTTTAAAATGGGGGCCGACAATCCCATTATATGGATATTAATTTTCAATCAAATTAATTTTTTTGCAAAATAATTTTTCTATTAAATCTTATAGAATGACTTGGTTCATATTAGAGAGTGAATCCAGAATGAACCTTATCAAACAACACAACGCTCTTTGCTGCGTAGACATACAATAACTTAAGTGATGGTGGTCTCATTAATATTTGTAAATGTATTAATAAAATTGTTAATAAAAAGTGTTGAATGAAAGAAATTTAGATAAATTATACTCACATCTCATGAGATATGAATTTAACACATATCATTTCTTGATTTTTAAAAAATTATTGTAATTATTTATACGGGATAAAAATATTGAACTCATGTACTCTCTCTTTTCTTACTTTGCTTTCTTCCTTCTTTTTTTTCTTTTTTTTTTTTCTTTTTTTCCCTTGTTTTACTTTTTTTTTTAATATAATTTCTTCTGATGTTCTACTAGAAATTGTTATCTTTTATATAAGTAATGGGTTGTGAAATGAGACTATTAACTATCAAAATGTCAGGAGATGAAATGTAATTGAATCAAATCTCATAGAATATTAGTGTAATTTACTCAAGAGATTTAAAAAAAAAAAATTATGGATAAATAATTGTATGTTATAATTGTTAGTATTTGTACGGGGAGCAAATATTCCGGCAAGCCCGTACTCCTTTCTACCAAGCTCCTGCCTGTCCGATCGACTTGCGAACACAACGGCGGTGAGTTACTCGGCGGTGTGTGGCCGGAATACCCCTTCGACGATCAAGTTAGACACACACAGGGATAGAGAGAAAGAGAGGATTGAGTGTTTAGTGTAAATCTCACCAAATGTTCATCTGTCCAGGCATGGGGGGCGCAGACTCGCTTATATACCTTCTGTGCCCCAAATCTACTCACATTAGTCTCTCGACACGTGGTGCTGCTATCCCATCTGTCAGCACAAATCCAACAACCACCCCCTAACCAAACTGTTAGGATATCTCGGCGGAGCTCGGCAGACCGGCGGAACCTCCTTGGTTTCTCCTGACCTCGTTGCGCGGCATACCTTAATGAACCATTCGCCGAGCTCCTGTACAACCGAACTCGGTTGCATTCCGGCAAGCCAAACTCAAGGTAGGTCGAGCCGGTTAGCCGTCAGTCTTTCTGCCGAGCTAACGTATAAACCGTGGAACTCGTGGAGATAGGCACACATCTCGGCCGAACTCCCAGTAGACCGGCTTCCGCACCAACAAGCCAAGTAGCTCGGTCCCACATGCCCTGTGCCTTAACCAAGCAAAACCCTTCCGAACAGGCCCAAACTACCACGGCCCAATTGTCACGACCCAAACCCGGCCCTATGGGTTTAGCACCGTAACCGGCCAGTAATCCGAGATTACCGAAGGCCTGCCTAACAGTAAACCAGTAAAACAGAGTACAGGGCCTGGCGGAAGCCAATACAGTAA